CCCCCCCTTAAGTGAAGCATCCAGTCTGGAGCTTAAGAGCATAAGCTTTGGAACTATATACATGGGGATCCCAGGCTGGACTCTGCCACTCTCTAACTGCATAATCCTGGGGAAGCCACCTGACCTTTCTGTCTGGTTTCCTTACTTGTAAAATATGGGTAAAATATCTGTCTATTATGTGAAATGAGGATTAACCATTTGTGAAGAACTTTGCATTGTAACTGGCACATAATGGTTAACTACCTCTAATGCTAATTCTTACTAGAAAATAATCTAGGTTGGAAAACTCAGGATATTGAGGCTGCAAATCCTGATCTGCTGGAGGTAAACCTCAGTCTGCTAGAAGCAAGATACCAACCGATTTAGGATCTTAAACAAGGCTCTGATCTCTGGGCCTCCGTGGCCTTACTTACACCAGGAGAGAGCTAGACTGGATGCTTTCTGCCTCATTCATTTACTCAACTGGTGAAAGCATTTGCTGTGGTCAGCCCCTGGGCCAGGAACTGGAGATACAGGGATGAAAGAGCTGGCTCTGCCTCAGAGGTGGCCCAGGCCCTGGGAGATGGTGCAAATAGGCCAGGTCGGAAGGGCTAGGAGAGAGGAGGTGGGCACACAGAGAGGGAGGGGACAGGGAAGGGCCCTTCCAGCGGCAGTGTCTGCAAACATCCCAAAGCTCCTGGATTTCTCTAGACCCTGTCCAGATGGTTTACAGCCAGGTAAGGAGAGAACAGAGACCGGTACCTGATGTTGGTTTAGGGTGGGCAGAGGAAGTAGGATGTCACACTGAGGACATCTCCTCAGGATGTCATAGGGTGCTTCATCTACAGGAGAGGTGATCCAGGGCCTGTGCTCAGACTTCAGAGGCAGATTCAGGGTTTCGTTTGTGCTACTTGGTGCTTGTTTTGTTGAATTTTCAGCAAGAAGAGGAAATCTGCTTATATTTTTCGTCTTTGGTCGAACATCTTTTTTTACAGTGGAAGTTTGATTTTCAGCAGCCTGACTTGGGAGGGATGGAGGAGAATTTCTTGGCTTTTCAACTGGAAGATGTTTTGCAGACTCTGAGATGGTGCGACATTTATCCTGCAATTGTGAGCAATATGTCAAAGTTAAAAATCACTTTGGCTTTAATGGTTGGACAATACAATCAACTAGATAACCTGAAAACTTTCCACCGAGAAGCCTTAGAAAAATACTGGATAAAATATGACAAACATTCATTGAAGTTGATAGCTGACTGTAAGAAAGCAAGCAAGCTCCATGTCCTAGGGTGAAGACCTAACCTGTTAAGCATATGAGCTGACACTTTGGGAGATGTGGGGCCAATTTTGTAACTGTGACCTTGGATGAGAGAAAAGTCCCATCCACACAAGGTGGGGAATTGAAAGTAAGATTCTTCTTTCTCTGCATAAAGCTGGGCACCTTGAAGGCTAAACTGGTGGCTAAGAGAAAAGAAAAGGTTAATTGGGTAAGAAGTGGCAAGGAAGGTTGCCTGCCTTGAGCTGGAACTTGAGTGAGGGAAAGAAAAACGGATAATCCTGAAAACTCAGAACCACAGGTGCATGCCATCCTTGTGTTTGGGGCTCATATTTACATTAGTCTCATGGTGTGGGAATATCCAAGCAGATGAATTAACCTAAAAGTTGGAATGTATGGCAGTCTGGAGGATATATAACTTCAAATTAGGTCATATAGGATTCTCACAGGTAGAGTCCCAATAAATAGAAACTCATAATTCAAACTTACAAACATGTAAGGAGACAGTCTACTTGAGTGGGAGTCATAGATACAAGTAGTAGCAGGATTAGCCTCCAAGAAGTTCAGATAATAAAGCTATAGAATGGAGACAGTCAAAAAAATAAATTAAAATGATTAGAACAAGAAAAAAGAATAAGACCCTATGAAAAAAGAGTAGGAAAATTTGAATGAGGGAGAACTACAGCTAGAAATGAAAAATACATTGAACCTCAACGGATGGGCTGAAAACAGCAGATCAGAATAAAAGATGAATTTGAGGAAGTTCCCCAGAATATAGGAACAATAGGTAGAAAATGTGAAAAGTTAAAAGACACGAAGCTAGACCGAGAAGGCCTAATATACATCTGTTATGTTTCACAGAAAGAGTGGGGAGAACATGGGAGAGTTAAGGAATATTGGGGACCCAAAGGGATTAGAGCTGAGACTTTTTCTCAACTGATTAAAGACATATACTTAGATTCAGGCAGGAGAAATCCTGAGGAAGAGAAAAAACATCTCTGAGCACATTGTTCTGAGCAGTATGTGAACCCACAGAAGATCAAAAGGCAAAGAGGATCTTGAAATCAACCAAAGAAAAAGATTATTTACGAGGAATGACAATTACATGGAAAGCAGACAATGACAGGGAAATGTTCTCGACAGCAATCATGGAGATTGAAAGATGGTGGAATAATCTTCAAAATATTAAGAGGAAATCACTGTTAATGTACTATTTGATATCCAGCTAAACTACAGCTCAAGAATGCAGAAAAAAGATGTACGTTTTCAGGCAAGCGAAGATCTCCTCACAGTTTCTTGCTGAAAGAACTACTGAGAAGTATTTGAGGGAGAGAGAAATCTTCCCCCAAAGGAAAGCTTGGGATTCAAAGAAAAAGGTAAATGTGTGAGTACATCCAAACAAGCATGAATTGCATAAAACAACAACAATAATCATAATGACCAGGCGGGGGGTGGAACGAAATTATTCCAGCAGCATTTGCGTATCAGGTGAGAGTAGAACATCAGAGTGAACATGTTCGCAAATCCATATATTGCTTGTTAGAAAGCTAGGGAATATGGTTAATATTGGACTTTAAGTCAAGCATTCATATTAAAATGTTATGGATATTTCCGAAAACGATAGAAATAGAATGCAAGATTGCCAAATCAGTAGAAAAGAAAGAAAATGAAAATCTGCTCAACCCAATAGATGACAAGAGAAGCAGCAGCAGCAAGGAACAAGCATGGTCCATGGGAGGCCCAGAAAAGATGGTAGAAAAGAATTAATTCAATATTGTTGAGAATGACGAAGGCATTGTTGTTAAGTAAGAAAATTACGATTTTTTAAGACATATGTTGAAGGTCGATGGGTGGAATGACAGGCTATCCTGGATTTGCTTTAAAACACTTTTGGAAACGAGAAAAGAAAAGAAGGATAGATGAAGCAATGTTGAAAACTATTGATTATTGGTATATCTGGGTGATGAATACCTAGGGGTTTATTATATTATCCTCCTACTTTTGTACTTGTTTGAACATCTTTGTAATACCATTACAAAATTTAGATGGTAGATAGACTCTATAACCATCTAAGCTATTATTTTCAGTCATATAAGGTCTAAAAATTAGTTTCCCATGCTTTAGTTCTCAAGAAACTGTTCAAGAATATACTCTACCAAAGAAGGAGCAGCAGCCCGGCCGGCGTGGCTCAGTGGCTGAGCATTGACCTATGACCCAGGAGATGGAGGTTTGATTCCCGGTCGCGTCATATGCCTGGGTTGCGGGCTCGATCCCCAGTGGGGGGCGTGCAGGAGGCAGCCGATCAATGACTCTCTCATCATTGATGCTTCTATTTCCCTCCCTTCCTCTCCCTTCCTCTCTCTGAAATCAATAAAGACATAGTAAAAAAAAAAAAAAATCAGAACCTAGAATTTGTGGAATAAACTCTAATGCTGGAGAGAGTAGAAGGAATTCCCAGAATGACAGCTACTCATCAGACCTGGGGAGTCACGTGCCCCCATAATTAAATGAATAGAGTACTTTACATGTTTGATTGAATGGAGGGGGAAGTTTTCAGATCTGGCAGAAAGTTTTGGGCATGACTTAGTGATAGGTACCTAGAAAGTGAAGCAAATGAAAAATTGAAGCAATTATTAATTCCAGGGAAAACAAAAAATTGTACAAGAAAGCAAATGCAGTTATAATTTGTATGACATAGCCATTTATAATATTTATATGGTCATAATAACATGACATTGATTACAGGTTTAACCAGGATGGGTGATACCAATTAATTGAAAGGATAGAAAAGAAACTCGGAGGTGTGTTTACGGGTAGGTGGTGTAATCAAGTGAAATCCATCTCCCTATAGCAGTATGAGAAGGTACTTCAGAAATATGGAGCTAATGCCAGGAGAAATATCTCAAAGAGTTAGAAAGTAGAGCATTTGTGACTTGGGAGCAGTTAGCAGGAAGGGGAGCAGTGAAGCTAGTATTTTAACTGGGGTGGTAGGAGACAAGTAAGGGCTACAATAAAGAAACACAGGCCCGGCCGGGCGTGGCTCAGCGGTTGAGCGTCGACCTGGGATCCAGGCGATTGGGGTTCGATTCCTGGTCGGGGCACAGGCCCGGGTTGCGGGCTGCAGCCGGTCAATGACTCTCTCATCATTGATGTTTCTATCTCTCTCTCTGTCTCCCTTCCTCTCTCTGAAATCAATAAAGATATATTGAAAGAAAGAAAGAAAGAGAGAAAGAAAGAAAGAAGTACATTAGATAATGTTAGAAATCAGTCAAAGCTATGGAAAGAAAACAGTGGAGAAAGGTACGGGGCATGGTAAATGTGGGATGGGGAGAGGTTACATTTTTAAAGAGGTTCTTTATGAAACATTTAAGTGAAGATGCAGAGTACGCAGTAAAATATAAGTCTGGAGTTTGAAAGAAAAGTCTGGAATGAGATGGATTTGCAAGTGCCTGCCTACATGAGGCATCTTTTAAAATCATAACACTAGATGAAATTACTGAGGTAGTGAGTATAGATAGAGAAGAATACAGAGACTGAACTCTAGGGCCCCCCAAATTAAATGGTTGGGGGGCAAGAGGAGAGACCGGCGAGGTAATTGAAGGCCGGGAGAGTATGGTACGCTGGAGGCCAAACAGGAGGTGAATTGAAATTAAGTGAAGAAGAGGGAGTGGTGAGCAGTGGCCTCCTCATGAACAGGGCTGAGGCTGGACCGCTGCCTTTCGCACTGTGAAGGTCACTGGTTTTGACAAGAGCAGGGTTTTTTTTTTGGAGGGG